CTTGTTTCTTGCTCGTTCTTTGCTCATATCTTTTCGTGAGTTGTGAAACGAAACATCAACACTCTAATACGAGACTAATTACAACGAATAATTGTGGAAGGGGTGAATACTATGGAGCAACCTTCTCGTACGAGTAGAATTTGGCCGGCTGGACGATGCATCGACGACATTTCCGGATCTCGTCTCGATCGCGCGCGAACGCTCGCCCTTCTAATTACGATTAATCAATGTCTCTGTGTAACGAACTTAAAGTAATAAAACCATTAGCGTTAACAATAACACAATCGTTAAGGTGAGATTATCATCGTAGGCTAGTTGAAGAAAAGTACGGTAGACTCTTATATGTAACCGTATGTTACCTCCTTGATTTCAATGAGTGCTAGTCACATGTATTATAATCATACTCGTACTCTCAATACACGAATATTATCAACACGACGTATTATACACACACACATATACACACACACACGTAATTAACTAACGACATAACATTATGATACGCTGCAGTTGTAGCTTATCACTCCGGATGAACAACAGAGGAACCAGTCTATTATTCTAGAGACGTATTTAAACGTCGTCGTAAGGTGTAAGAGTGTTTCAGGTCTAATTAATTGTAAATCGGTCGGAATGCTATCGTAACCGGAAGAGAAAAGCGAGCACAGTTACGAAAAAGAAAAAGAAAAGAAAAGAAAAGAAAAGAAAGAAAGAAGACGAAAATGGAACGTCCTCGTGCGAGTAACTCTGCACATTTTCACTGAAAAATGGCTTGGTGTTTCTTGTCGTCGATTAAATTTGCTTCGAATCGTCGAACGGAGCCACCGTAGCGCAGGACGTGCCTCTGTTACGCCGATATTCGATATCAATTGTACGACAATATAAGGTATTTACAAGTAGAGAGTTACGCGCTGCAAGCGTTCACCATTCTTGAACGAGACGAACGTGAGAGAGAGTAGCAAGTTAGTATTAATCTCGATGTTCTCTTCCGCGGCGTGCGTATCCCAGATGCGTCGCGGTGATCACTTACAATTAGAAGAACTTTTTCCCCTTTTCTCCTCAGCGGCGCGTCGCGATCCAACCGTCGAAGTCACTAGAATTCGTTCGTCGATTATTTCGCGAAGGGAATCGTCGCTTCACTCGGCGATCGAGTTCGATCGTTGGATCGCGTGCACGCGCGCGCACAGATCTGCGATCTCGCGCCCCGTCGTCGATCACGTTCGCTCGCTTATTTTTCTCCGTGCTTATAGTCAAGACCGCGTCCCAAGCGTGTTGATTGTAAGACACCGAGTGGACAACGAATCACCGCGAGTCGAGCGGTCAGTCGATCACGGCGCTCGAATCGAACTGCGTTTAAATTACCAATTCCACGATCGTACGACCATTTATTACCTTCTTATCTAACCGCCAAGTTAAACAAAGGGGAAAGGAAGAGATGCTATAAGGGACATTATTAAATGCGAGTAAAAATGCGAGTTCTATCTGTCATCGTTTTAGCTGTTAAGGAACAACAAATAAATTTTGGGGGTAGCTCTAATCCAAATATACGTAAGCGTACACGTAAGCGCAGCACACTGAGGAAAATAAAAATCGTGAGAGAAGAAACAAGTAGTACAATGTATAGATTTGTGTATAGATAATAATCGAGGGCATCGTGTGTAAAGATATCGGTCTTGGGCGCACGTCGAGCGCACTCGTTACCAATCCCCCTTCCCGTTGGTTCGACGTTCGAAAAAGATACTTACGAATACGAACGGCTAACAGGATCGTTCCTCCACTTCGAGCTTCTTCAGATATCACGGAAACCCGTTTTCCACCGGTTCTTTCTTTTTTTTTCTTTTTTTTTT